TTTTTTGCTAAATTGTGATTATTAGTGCATGGTATCCACTTGGAAGTGCAGGTTGATTTGAAAAGATGAATGCAGACTTGTGTGGTTAATTACAAGACAGTTTTTACATCCCACAGAAATGAATGAAAGTCAATAGTAGGGCAACTATTTAAAATTCTAAATCAGATCAAGATGAGGATCAAACTGATTAATGTAGGGCTAAAGTATACATGGTTTTGAGTACATTTCTCCATATAGTCTATTTATTGTTTTTAAATTAAATGGGCAAATTGAAGATGTATTTTTTCTGATATATTTCTCACAGTTTATTATTATTGATCCTATTAGCCTAATCTGCCCATTCTCAATCTAACAACGGGCTTTACAATCTCCTCAGGTTATGTGCGTGTCACCAGATGAGTTTTGCTGTTTCTCAGCTGTTGCTTCAAACATGACCTCACCCATCCGCATCATTACAGAAAATAAGAATGGCATACCAGCAATCAAAACCGACCTTTTTTTTCACTTTCACAGCGTCTTCACAGGCGGAGCCGTCAGCTCTGCCCGGGGCCGCTCAGAATAAACCTGCGGACAAAAGTGAACATTAGCGGGGGAACACGGGTGTCTTGCCGGGGTGGGAAGATGTGATGTGTGAGGGTGAATGGGGGGCGGCAGTCTATAGTGCCTGGAATGATTTAAAGCTCGATTATTTACTTTCTTATCTTTGCCCTCTTTTAAAATTCACTTTCCCTGTCGCCCCCTCCTCCTCCCTTTCACTCCCCTCCTCCCCCACGTCTCTCCACAGAGAAAGCGGGTGGATGGCCCATTCGTAATTGGCCGTGTCGGAGGCGCATTGTCCGAGGCTTTTCAGGCCGCAGGTGCATATAGTAAAGCCGGAGTCTCCGCTCCTCCCCCGGGCGTCTTTGTTCCCTCTCCCCGCTTCCCCCACTCCCCCGCCGGGCAGAAAATTAGGGCTGCTTTTTGGGGCTTCGTCCTCTGGCTTAACCCTTTCACCGACCGCCGCCTTTCTCATGGAAATGGGAGAGAACCCCGCACCGGCTAATCGGTCACTGAGGGGAGGGGATAGGAGGGAGAGGAGGGGGAGAAAAGATGAGGGCACCAGGATCAACCGGAGGAGGAGGAGAACAGATGCAGGGGGGTCGCTGTAAAACCAGTAGCTTCTCAAACTATCTCTGAATGTGATCAGAGTTCACAGGTAATGATGATGATACGGTACATTTTAGTTAGGTTAGTATTTCATTATGAAACTTGTCTACAGATGGGATAGTCATGTGTGTATGTTAGGATGATAACCCAGCTGGCATTGTCGTGTTTATTCACAGTTGGATCAATGTAATACACCATGTTGAATTACTGTTAATTATGTTCTGATTCTGAAAGATGACTCAACATTGATTTCACAATGTTGTTCTATAAACTTTAAATGTTGTTTCAAAATTCTTTCTGAAATTTCAGTGCTGATTCATGAGAATTTTGCGAACTTTTTTTTTTAGAAACATCACAATTAAACATTGTTTCAATATTGCTTTAATGCTGAGACAACAACTGACATAATTTCTACCACATTTCAGCGTTGAGGATCGGTCATGTGTGGAAATTATGGTAAAATCATAGTTTTACTTTTATCCAGGCCTGTTACAACACAGTCTCACAGAAATATATGTAATGGAGACGACCTCTTAACATTAACATTACA